TCTGCGGGGAACTCTGCAAAAAACGCATCTTCGCACGGGCAGCCCGTGCGTTGGTCATTTATTTTTTTCGCAGAATTCATTAAACGCATCAGCAGGCTGAGACGTAGTCTAGCGCGTACTGGCTGGTTTTTATGCACCTTTATTGAATTTTGATTATTTTCATATTTTATCCGCACCGCGGTTGGTTGTGGTCCTATTTGAACGCAAAAAAAAGGATAGGTTTTCTTTGCTCCTTCACTGGATACACCGATGGCAGGGTTTTGTTGCGTTTTTTCATTTTCTTTTTTCTAGAGCAGAGGTGTTGTCTGCAATTGCCTATACTGCAACCACTTATAGAGACGCTGACCAACCACCAATTTCTTCGCTGCAACTGCGTCCTGCCCTGAAAAAAGCCGCTGACAAGCAGCAAAAGAATCCGGACACCAAACCAAAGCACATAAGACACGACTGCATTAGACGTCCGGCGGAAACTGAGCAGGGTGTTGGTAAATCAGCCCCGGCTCGACTATCACAAAAGAAAAAAACCGTGGCATTCGGTAGTACAATAAACGTTTCTCAAACAGTAGAGGTAGGTATCGTTTTCTCCACTACTGACACTTAATTCTTTTAAAGTAATTCTCGAAAACCCTAGTGTGCAACTGCCTGTTTCATGGACTTCTTCCTGGCAGTTGTATTCTTTCGCAGTGAATTTTCGGCATGCTCCTAGGTTGACATTAATTTTTGGATTTGCAGGGCAGATCGAAGCCTGAACGAAATAATCCCTCTGTTTCTTGTTTTCTAAAGGACAAATTATGCAAAATGGCAACTGAACATGGGCAGCAAGAACTTAAAACAAAAGTACTTTTTTTATAGGCTGTTTTAATTCAAAACGATATAATAATAATTTAAAATTTTTCTGCGCTGCGCATTGGTGCTTTGGAACGGTGTTTTGCATTGCTTTTGGCGACTGATTGAGAAAAGCTGAGTCACGGTAATTTTCGATAAAATGACATTACAGGTGGAACAGCTGGACACGAAAATGTTAGAAATTCAGGAAAAAATTGTTGAGCTTACTCGAAAAGATGTGGAGCGAAGTGATCAATTTCTAAAACTAACAGAGATGGTCAAGGTATATTTTATATTCCTTGCCCCCTTTATCGAAAATCAGTATTGCGCACCACTGAGTAACACTCATATAAGAGAAGGCAACCGTTGGATGGACTTCTAAAATACTCTGCAAGTGCGCAGTAGAGACGACAGAGACAAGCAGTTTGCGGCAGTAGAGATAACGGGAACTTATGATTGTATTTTGGTTATAAGCATATATATACATATGTATATATATATATATATATATATATATATGCACATATATACACATATATATACATATATATACATACATATATACACATGTATATACACATATATATATACATATATATATACATATATATATACACATATATATACACATATATATCTACACATATATATATATACATATATATATACGCATATATATACACATATATATATATACATATATATACACACATATATATACA